ATGACTAGATTTACTGTTGCTAATAATGCCTAGCCTTGATCTGGGCCAGGAGGAAGTCACTGGGTCGAGACTACTCTCCCCTTTAGACACTAAGAGGTCCTCAACGGCTGATATTCTGGCTTTTATTCGGAAGGCGGAATGTCTTCTGTTCGGTTAGGATTTGTTGCAGAATAAATATAATTGATATAATAATATAATAATTTATTTTAAAACTCATTTTTTTTAATTGAGTTTTAAAAAAATGTATTATGAATCTACTACATTATAGTATTAAAATGAAATTTAAGTTTGCATATAATTTCTTCTACATATAGTCTTATTGTGATACTATAAATATGCGTCGTCATATACATCTATAAGCCTTTCATAGTACATTTGCGTATAAGTATAAGTATATTTGTTGTGTGTTCCTAGAGAATATACGTAGCAACATTTTGTAGCATTAATTTAAGAGCTTTAAGGATTTGAAACGTATTTCACTGCACATAAAAGCAGTTAAAGTGCGCTTTCTGAAAACAAAAATAAACTATGAAATCTGCACGTATTTTGTGCTTAAAGTTGCAACTAGCAACTAGCAACTACCAACAACAAGCCGGCAACTAGCAACTAGCAACTTGCAACTTTTTGTAGGCATTAAAGTTACTTTCGAATTTCATTGAAATGGTATTTGCGGCAGCATTAGTGCCGACAGGATACATAGAAGCATTTCCATACAATGAATGAACCATTTTTAGTTTGAAATTCAAATTCAAATTCAAATTCGCTGCCAATACGAAGCCTTAAAAATAGTACTTTATTGTGAACATGCACACAGCCACACACACATGCATGTATTTGCACACATCTGTGCATACTAACATCCGCACATCCACACATATAGACACATGCTTTGCTGGCAAATAAACTAAAGCGGATGCGGATATGGCAAACATTACTAAAAATGCCTACAGCAAAAAGTTGCAGACATTCTAAAGTGCTTTTGTGTGGTTGGGTGTGAGTCCTGTGAGTTTATTTAAAATATGTAAAAACAATTTCTATATCAATATGAATTTTTTGGTTTTTATTCTATCTACTACACACTAAACGATATTTATGTTATGTTTTATCAATATTTTTGCAAGAGTTTTTTGTGTTAAATGCAATTTTAGAATGTAACGGATATTTATTTGCATAATTTTAAATAAACTTTGCTCGGAGCGTTTATTTTCATATCTCTTACATTTGCTTAAAAATTGTTTTTCTCTGTTTTTTTTGTGTTTTTGATATTTCATAAATTAAAATTAAATATATATTTTGCCTGATTGTGTTAAAAAAACGTTTAGCGTTATTTACTTTGATTTTTTCTTGTTGAAATATCTTAAGGATATGCATAAACCACACTTCCTTGCATATTTGCAAATAAATTTTGTATTTCTTTTGGCGTTTGCGTTTGCGTTTGCCTTAGCTTTAGCGTTTGAAGATGATTCCTTTGGTTTACTCAAATCATATTTGCTTATGTATTATGTTTATATCCTGCCACGTATTTATGTATTTCCGTTTCTTCAAATATTGTTGTATGTGCTTAGATGAGCGCTTATGGCTTTGTACTTAATCAGCCTCAGCCCGTTTTGAGTTTCCTTCCTTGCGCAAAATTTAAGGCTTATTTACATTGAGAAGTTCAACATTAATATTTATTCTTTATTCGTCATCATTTTTATTTAATTTTTTTTTCGTGCTTCCGGGCGTAGGGTTGCCGTCTCATAGCGTTTTTTATTTTGTAATACAAATATTAGTAGAGCATTTAAAAATATATTATTTCATTGCTGAATTTAAATTCCAAGGTTAGCAATTTTAAAAAAAGAAAATAATATTTTTAATTGGTGTAAAAAAAAGCTGATGTGCATAAAATTTGAAAACCCATAGATTAGAATACAACTCTGAGGAAGACGACAAACTTCTTCTTTTTCTTGAAACGGCGATATCTATATAATAATTATAAATAAATAATAATTATGCCTTTAAAAACACCTTTTTTTATTACAAAAATTAAACTCCGAGTTAAAATATTAATAAATAAACAAACGACAAACGATTCACATGGTTTAAACATGTTCAACTGAAAAGAATTAGCTGTGTCAAAATACTTTATCACCTCTAACAGATATTCAGAAATGAAAATCTCAGTGCTAAGAACACAAAGCTAATATATAACAAAATAATCCGTCCGTCATTTCTATATGGTTATGTAGTGTTTAGCAAAGCATCAAATACATCAGAAAGAATTACATCCTCAGGGACCTCAAGATAGATCCCATCAGAAAATACATAACGGATAGAGCCCTGAAATTTTTTGCGATAACTGACAGACTTACTAACACCGCGTTATTAAATCTCAGAATGGTTATAGGCTCCTCCAATTATATTTGAGTAAAACTATTAATAATTTCACAATTATACTTCAATGTAACAATTATTTAAAGCTTTTACAAAACGAAACATTAAAAAAAAACTAAAAATATTAAAGTTTTCTCTTCTACTTGGAGTTCTGCCTTTTCTTGTTTTTCCGCTTTTACTTTTAAAACCCTATTGAGGCGTTATTCGAACAATATTACATATATGTAAAAGAACTGTACTCCACTAGAAGTAGAGAATGATAAAAGAATGGATGATAGAGGCCTTATAATCCTACTGAGGACAGAGGATTTGATAAGTATACGTTATACTTCATGCAATATTATATGTATAGCAAAGGATATTAAGGCGCTATAACTTTCTGGGAACAGAGGATTATGAGTCACTTGGTATGAATACGTATTAAGGGATGGTAGAGACTTCATAATTCACTGAAGCAGAGATTCATAGCAGAATGCGTTATTCTTCGAGCAGTATTACATATATACCAAAAGATATTAAGGCGTTATAATTTTCTGAGATATTAATGGACATTAAAGGTCCCATAATCTGCAGTGGTAGAAGATTGCAGTAGAATATATTATTATTATCCAAGCAAAATTACATCTCTATGCAAGAATTATGGAAGAATGTGTTATTCTTTCAGCAATATTACATATATATATAAGGATATTATGGCTCCATAATTTACTGCCAGCAAAGAAATATGTAAAAGTACGTTATATCTTGAGTAACAATTCATATTTATAAAAGAAAATTAATGGATGGTAGAGGTCTCAAAATCTACTAGGGGGAGAAGAGTGCAGATGATTTCTTTATTCTCCAATCAACATTATAATATAAAAAAATTATAAAATAAAAAAATTATTATACAAAAGGCTATTAAGGGATGGTGGAGGCCCTTAATTTCACTGAAGCAAGGAATTATAGAAATATACGTACTTCTTCGGGCAATATTTCACATTTTTAAGAGGATATTAAGACCCCATTATTTACTGGATTATAAAAGGAAACATAAATATTCTTGGCCTCTTCAAGACAGGTAGTCATTTTAAATAAAAAAATATTGTTAATAATAATATGAATTTTCTTTCCTCTACTTCACATCATAATGTATTATTATATAGGTATAGTATAGAAGAGAAGCCTCTTATTACAAAAGCCGTAATTACTGCAACAAATTTATTAATTGCAGTACTAAGCATCATTAACTTCCCTTCCGAACATTTAAATAAAAGTTTATTAGTAATTTTAATTGAAGTCTCAGTTTCCATTCAGTGAATGCAATTTTGCAAAATTGAATGTATGCATGACTACAAACACTTTGTTGAGATTAAAAACAGCAAATTGTTGATTAACAAACCCGGAGCTTTAATGTATTTTACATTAATTCACTGAGTTAATTTGTGTATTAATATGTACCGCACTAACTCTAGAAAAACAAAGCAATTATTTCCATTTTAAATATCAACGAGCGACTAATTCCCGCCCGTGTGCATAAACTAATAAAGCCATTAATTGTAAAATTTTTACCCATAATGGAAACTCTTATTTTTTTCTATTTGTTTCTATTTTTTTTGCTTTTAACTATTCAAGTGAACATGAAAAAAAATTTCAATACAAAGCAATTTTTCATAAAATAATTTTGCAAATTTTGTTGGTGTTGGCAACGTTGTCTTCTTGCCAGATTATAAACAATTAACGATAACAAATTGTATGTTGTCAAAAATCACGTATTCCCAAAGTGTTATTTAGGAAAATTATGCTTAAATACACGGAAATGCTAAATACCACAAATACAAGGCTAAACGTATTCAACGGGTACCAGAGTACCAGAGTAAGCCATACTTCTAATGCCGGCCTGTATTGCTCGACTGCATAGGCAATGTGCGGGTTTATTGTTATTGAAGAGCTCCGCATGCCATTTTGCCTTATAAATTTGTATAAATTTTGCTTTATTATTGCATTATTTTGCATTAAAACTAATGCAGATACTAGAAGTAGTGCTCGTATCTAGTTTTACTGTTGTTTTTGTTTTTGTTATTGCTATTTTGCAATGATAACATTAACATAAAACAATAGAAAATTATTAGTAAATGCGTAAAATGTGGCAACGCTCAGCAGTGCATTTACTGCACTTAGCAATGCACTAAGCGAGTAAAATACATGGTGGCGGCGGCAGCGGCAGCGGTAGCGGCAACCTAATTAGCATGTAAACGTGCATATGTGACCAATCCGTATATTCTCTGCACATTTGCAATAACAAATAGCAACAACAGAGTTGGCATTTAAAGGGAATTTGTTTAGAATTTATTGAGGATTTTTATCTTCACTGATAAAATCACATCAATGCACAGCAATGCTAAATGCCAAACAAAATTTGTATATTCGGTTGGTCATTAGTGCGTTGCTAAATTATGTTGCCTGTTACTGTGTCCAGTAACAGTGTATGATGCACACTGGGTTATTGCCATTGATATTTATTTACGACATACCTATGTACATATGTATCTGAGGCAGGAGCAATGTAAGATTGTAGTATGTATATGAGTATGAAATTGGAAAGCATGGATACTTGTACTTATTGTTATGTTAATATTGAGTGAGTAGTGTTGTTTGGCCAAAAACATTGTTGACAATTTATGGTTTAACTTTTACAGCTTCTGTTCGTTTAAATGTGTTATGGCTGTATTTGGTGTACTTACCACTGAGTGAGTTATGCCCACATGAAGGCGCTTTACCGAGCAGATAATCTTCCTTGCAGATAAATTTATTGTCGTCCAGCACATAAAGTTGTTCACCGGTGCTGAGCTGTTTTCGGCACATACAGCATGTAAAGCAATTTAGGTGGAACACTTTATCACGCGGTTTTCGTACGAGATCGGAGGGTGCAATACCTTGGCCGCAGCCACTACATTTGGTGCCATAACGTCTGAAAGAGATTTAGAAATTTATGAGAAAAACTTACTAACTTTTCTTACCTTAAATAAAAAATTAAAATAGAAATTTGAATAAATTTTGGGAAGGAAAAAGTATCATTAAATCAAAAAATAAAAAAAAAGGATACATAATAACATATATTTGAAATACATATATTTTCAATTATAATTCTCATTTAGTTTCACAAATCTTTGGTATTAAAAGGACACATTTTGTTTATACAGAATGTAGTTTATTTTAATGTGATTTCAATGGAACTTTTGCACTACTGGTATTTTATAATTTTAATGTAATTGAAGGTTTTTAAATGAAATGAAATAGTTGAAGATATTAGTTTCTTTTTTTTTTTGTTTTTTGTTTTGGATATTGTACCTAAAATATTCTTTATATCTTAATATCTTAATATAAGACAATATTAAGATTCTTAATAAATTTGAAATTTTTATAAAATTTAGTCGTGTTCTTATTTGTAATTCTCATTGAGTTTAAGAAAACTCTTGCTTAAATGGAAATGATTTTATTCCTGTATTTGGTATAGACTATTGGTCGTTTATAATTTTAATGTAGTCAAAGGATTTGATCTGGTGTTATGAACCACAATGGCAGCTGGGAATTTTTTAATATTAAATGAATTAATTTTCAAATTAAATAAAGGTTGTTGTTTTAAATAATGTTAAAACAATCTTTCGCAAATGTTCTCCTTAAGATATAACAAATATTCTTTTTTATGTGACAAACACGTTAGTCTTATTTAATTTTAATATAAGAGGATATTGGGCATTGCCTCAATGTAATCAATCATTGTAGTAAAGTGAAATCATGATACTAAAGTTAATAATACTGTTAAAAACTGTTACTAGGAGTTAAGAACGCATCTTAATTGCATTAGAGAGCAATTATTGAAAAAAATTCCATTGAAAGAGTCAATTAGTGCGTATGAGTGTTGTGAGTTTTGTATTCTTTCGTTTGGTTTCAATTTCTTAGTTCCCACAAAAAAACCATAAAGATTGCAATAAAACGGTTAAAGTAAAAGTAGTTTTTAAGGCCTGAATTTGGGTTGTTGGAAAATAAATTATTGAGTTCATGTTTGCAATTAAAATAATCTTTGATTGTTTAATTATCCACTTTAGTGGGTTATATTGAGATTCAAATTGAACTTCATCTTACATCCATTAAATAAATATAATCGCAGTTTTTTCTATAAATTCAAACCGCTATTTCAAATTATACTCTTCCCCTGTTTAGTTGAACGAATGCAGGGCTATTCTATTGGTTTATGAATATATATATATAAAATTTTTTAGGTGAAGTCTTCCGCAAGTCTATGTGAAATGTAACCAAGCCAATTATATTTTTGTGTCATTATCGCTTCAATACATGATAGTTTCCTCATTCTGTATTGTAACCCGACGTTTGGTCAAAATAATCTCCAGTATTTCGTAAAGGCTGTGATTGAGACACTTTTAACGTTGTTTTCGATTTTATACGAGCGTTTACAGTCTTATAAAAATCGATCTTTAACACTGGTGCTCAATAATCCTATGTTTGCGGAGAGGGGTGCTATTTTCATAATGTGTTTCGTATTTGTTTTAAACTAGTAAGCGGATCACTTCCACTTTACAATCACGGTTGCCACTTGAAAATTTTTTTCTGTACCAAAATTGGTTTAAAAAGGTACCATTTCTGTAAAAAAAGGTCCAAAATTTTTCTATTGTCTTTTTATAAGAAAATACAATTTATATAAAATATACAAAAAGTATAAAACAATACAATATCCACAATAAAGTTAGGTCGCCGAAAATGTACCATTTTTTAAACATGAGTACCAGAGTACCAAACGGAAAAAAAAGTACCAATTTTGGTACTAAAGTACCTTAAGTGGCAATCGTGTTTACAATGGTAACTGTTAGTTTGTTATTAGGTTTTATTAAATACGTAACCATTAATTTTAATATAAAATATCTAAATATATACTTGTATTTCAGAAGTATGTCTTCAACAAATAGAGTGTAGTCTTTGGATCTGTGTCTATAGTGTTATATAGTTTAAGTGTTTTATAAGGTTTGTGAATCTGACTACCAAATGTAACAAGGCGATTTACTCTCATCTCTTTTAGCGCTCGCAACTGCCATGAATGATAACTTTTGACACTAGTTTCGCGAGTTTTAATATAGACCTACTCAACAATAGAGTAGGTCCGACCTAACTTTTTGTTTATAAATGGACAGTTTAGTTTTGATGTTAAGTATGCGATTATTTATAATGTGCGGATCTCTGTAGTCTTTGTATAATATCAGATTGTTAGATGCGATTAGTTTTTTTTAAAAAATATCATCTTTTTCGTAGAATCGCTGGTTTATCGTAGAATTGGTTATCAAGTTAAATGGGTTAGTCGTTAAATTTTTCTTATGTAGATTAAATAAAAGTTTTGAAGTTATATTTTTATTGCTTGGTAATCGTTTTAATTGTCATAAACTTCCTGCATTTGAATAATTTCTAAGATGTGCTTTGAAAATAATTAAAATAGTTAATTCTCAACGAATAAGAATCCATAACAAGATATTTATTAAATCAATTAAATGTGATAGTAATTTTAATCATATATCTAATACATTAAAATTTGATTTACGTACTTTTTATACCGTAGTTGCATATTAATTTCCACAACTACATAATCTCTAATATTTATTGAGTAATTGCTAATTCTTAAGCTTGTATTAAATAATGAAAAATAAATTGCAAACGATATTTGCATATCCAGAAAATTGATTGACATTTGCAGAAAAAAGAAAATATTTATCCTCGTTTTTTATGTGCATATTTCTGTGGTACTGCCATTTTTTAATCGACAATCGGAATATCACTCAATCAAAGCCACATCAAATGCAGATGATTTCTTGTATTCAAAGGCAAAAAAATGCAAAAGATATGTGATAAAAAAAAAATAATATCACAGAAATCATTTAATCAAAGCGAAATGCAAATTTAATGAAAAAATGTTCACATTAAAATGATCAAAAAATAAATCCAAAGAAAAAAATATCTGCATACGTTTGATTAGTGTATGTAAATGAAGTTGAACTCAGTTCGACTGCAGCTGAAATGATGGATGCGAAGTACTCACACTAATTCACACCAACTCACACTATCTGAACGAATGACTGGATGAAGTGATGTAGTGATGTAGTGAATCAATGACAAGAATCACTTGATTCGATAGCAATTTGCGCTATAAAAACGCACTTTGTGATTTGCATCAAAGGCGAATGGCAATTGGCAAGTGGCTATTGGCGGGCACCAGCCATTAAATCAGCAGGAGCAACTATTGAAGCTGTTGTGCTGTGATTGCTGTGATTGCAGTGTTTGCAGTGATTGCAGCAGCATTTGGAATCGGTTATGGTTATGTTCAATAGACAAGCAGTGTCAGTGCCTGCCTGTCTGCTGCCAGTTTCGTAGATTTGTCAGTGGTAGTAGTAGTAGTGGTTATTAGAGATCGTAAGTCGGAAAGCAAGCCCAACATAGGCACGTAACATTAGGCACCTCCTGTACAGTCTATAAAAAGGTATCGCAGAAAGTAGAGATACCTTTCGCATGCTTTTGTTGGCACTTCGAACTTGACTGCTGCCGCTGCTACTGTGCTGAATTGGCTTTGGCTTTTAAAGGTGTTTTTCACTATTAATTGATTTTAACATTTCCCTTTTGTTGCCGGTATTGCTTTTAACTAAACATTTTAATTAGAAAAAATATGTGCACCGAAGTATTGCCGAAGCGCTGAAGTGATTCCTATTCAAATTGCTGAGGAATTACTTTTTTTTGTGAAATAAAATACTACCTTTTTCCACTTAATCAATTTCTTAGTAGTTTTTTTGTGTTCATATTTTTTTTTTTTGTCAATTGTACTTACCTAAAAAAATCATTTCTACAATATAATTTAGATTCTCTACTAAAGCATTTATCAGTTAATAATTGAAGGCATTCACAGCAACGCACACATGACGCATGCCATCCTCTCTCCAGGACATTTAATAAAAATTTATCTAAAATTGGTTTATTACAACCCGCACATGGATCTCCAACTCCCACCGGCGGTTCACTGCGTCCTGTAAATAAATAAATTAAGGAAATCAATTAGTAATGAATTAATGACTATTATTAAGTAAATGTTATTAAATTTTTCAAGTTAATAATTTTAGTCAATAAAATTTAATTTATAATATGGAAGATCAATGAATGAATTAGAATGAATTTTTGCTAATGAAAGAGCTACGATAAAAAACTCTCAATTTAGTACATATAATCTAAAATTTATGTATAAAATATCACAAATGATTAACCAAGAAAAAATTTTTGTAGGAAAATGTGGTATTGGCCGGAAAGAATATCCATGCTAGAATATCTATGCTAGTGACAATAAACTTAAATACAAAATATAATTATTTTTAGATATAACTAAATACAGATAAGTAGACACAAAGCTAGTTGCCCACCGGATCAGTGATGGAAATCTTTCCTATTTATATCTAAGATGTAGTTTTACTGAGTTAAAGTCTAACACTGTGGCTGTCGATGTTCTCTACCTATTGCAAAAAAAAAACCCCTTTTTGTTTTAAATACAATATCGGGAAATATAAAGGCAAATATCGGTCAATGATTTCAGTATTATTTTTGTAATAACTGTAAGCATAGGAACCCACACAGAGAAACTGCGCATTCCCCATAATCCTCACTACAGAAGTATGGAAACCCATAGGAAAAATAAACCATAAACCACATTTTCTCTGTGAATACCCGGCTTTGGCGTTCAGAAAATATAAGTTCTTAGGAAGATACTTCTTTGATAGTTCATCAGACTGTTCATCGGTGAAGACGAAAGACCTATTAAATTATCTAAATTCGACGAGATGGATTTAGTCTCTACTCTGGTAATAACACGGTGAAAAATTGCTAATTGAGGTACATGGAAGTTATCTAATGGTCCGCCACTGCAAACAACCAACCAACTGTAGACATGCAAAATCGTAGCAATTGTGTAAAAGAGGTTCGGTTAGTATTTCGGTACATTATCGAACTGTAAAAGTTAAAAAGTTGAAAAGTTTCTTTACTATCTTTCTAATTAAACCATCTAATTTGCACTTAAAATAACAATATAACATATTTTTCATTGTAAGGTGATGAAAATTTGGAAAGTAATGGCACTACAGTGCTATCTACTTAAACTTTTCATGATAAAAGCGCATTTCAAGCATATTCCAAGGCACTTTTTAAGTTCTTGTATAAATTCATAGCTGGTAATTTTATATTCCCATACCATTTAACCTCTTCAACCATCAATGAACTTAAATAAATGTGCTTCAAGCAAATCATTTAACACTTTTCTGATTGCATAATCTCAAACATATTTATATACATTATTTTTATTTTTTTGGTTTTTTGTTTTGCAGTAACAAATTAGCACCTTAACTCATTAAGTTTGCACAATTCACATAATTACATACACAAAAAACAGCAAAATGAGCAATTCACACCAAACATCATCATTAGCAGTCAAACATAGGCACTAACGTATAATCAAGCCACAGCAGCACACCTCCAACACACACACACACATACATACATGTACCCTCTAATTAAAGGGTACGTTCAGTTTAAGCTGTTGGTTCGCATACGCAAATTTCAACTTTTAAACATTTAACTTTGAAGCATTTAAGCTACGAATTCAAAGGATTTCTCTAAGCTAAACAAGAGAAATCCGTACGGACAGACAGATAATTAGGGGCAATGTGGGTTTTGCATTGGACAGTTGAGCAGTTGGGTAGTTGGGCAGTTGGACAGTTGGACAGACAGTTTGCCGCAGAGACGTAAGTACGACGACACCTTAACTGAAATATTACTATTTTGTTTGTATGTTTTTTCGAATATATAAATATTTAATTGCGTTTGTGTTTGGCCAGTATGGTTTTATTTGAAGTGTTAAATGTGTAATTTCTTAAAATGTTCTGTGTGTGTGTGTGTGCACAGTAGTTTCACACGCCTCAAATTGTAGCACGCCCCTCTCGTGCGCATTTACACCTTTAATACACATTATTTTCTTATATTACGCTTATATGGTTGTTGGTGTTTTTTATTTTTTTTTAATTTTGATTTTTGTGCTTAAACAATGTAAACACAAATGAATAAGTTCTGAATTGTGCCCTCAAACCATATAAAAATAATGCTTCAGATAACATTTAACAGCCCCAAACTCATTCAGCGATATATTGTGCTCCAATCAAACTGCTAAGTAGTGGGAGAGGTGGTAAAAGCACACCCCAAAAGTGCAACCGTATAATAATACGGTTTCTGTTTGAAAACCCCCGAGGGTAGTTGCGTTGAGTTGCGTTCACCTATTTTTGCTTGCTCCAGCACTGTATGCTTGCTCCATTGTATGGAAGTATAATGTATGTGTACGGTGGTGTGGAGTAAGGAATTGTGGTGGAGCAGCTGAAATTTTGTGCCAAATAAATTTGTATCTTGGCAGCGGTAGCTTGGCTGAAAACCGAACAAAATCAACACTGCACACCTTTGTTGAGTGATGTTTTAACAGGAGAGTTGAAAGTCGAAAATAAAATGTACAGAAGATACAAAAATACTCGTATAAACATGAAAACTAAAAAAAAACTAAAGAAAAAAAAACTAAGAAAAAAAAAAGCGAAAGATACTTTACTTAGACTGCCTTCGAGCTAAAAATGAAGAAGATACTTTCGTAAAAATTAACTGCAAAACCAACAAAGGCAACAACAACAACAACAACAGCAGCTACTACTACAATAGCAATAACAACAAAAATGGCTAAACAATTTTCTAACCAAGCGGAAGGTATAGTGTGATAGAGAGGGAAAGACGTAGAGAGGAAAGGAAAAGGGAACCAGAAAATAATGACTGCAAAAGTTGAAAACTTTTCGAAAGTACGAGTAGCAAAAGACGTTGCAAAATTTATTTTCATTCAAAAAGTTTTATACTTTTCGGTACATTTTATTTCACTGAAATATACCATATATATTTTTTTCTTTTTAATACTTCAGTACCTTTTTGGTTTTTATTTTGCCATTTTTTCTTTTTTTTGAAATTTATTTCAAGCGAGTTTTGTGGTCTTAAGCAAATTGAAGCGTAAAGTATTAAAATCAACCGAAGTGAAGTAATGAAAAAAGTCCGTAAAAAATCTGTGAAAAATTCACGTTGTAGGCTCCAACAAAATAATTTTGTGCTTAACTTTTTAAATATTCAATGAGCCTGAAAAGGAGCAAGTCAGCGTAGATCAGCGCAACCCCAAGCCCACGACGACCTATTAAATTTGCGCGCACATATCTGAAACGTATCTGAAAATGTATCTCAGCAGTGAGTGTAGATATGAGTATGTGAGTTTGTTTTAAAGTCACACAGCCGCCAGCCAAAAGCAATTAGTTGCCTTTGTGCCGCATAAAATTAGGCTAAATTCAAAGCCTTTAAAACACAACAACAACAACAACAAGAACAGTTTCAATATTTCAAAAAAAAAAATAATATACATATATACAAGTTTTATATACACAAACTCATTTCTGATAAATGCCAAAATTGACGGATGTTATCAATCAAAATTATTTCAAGGTAGCCTCTACCAACGAAAGTGAAACAGACATTAGACTTTGTTGTGACTCAATGAATGCACAACAAAGCAGCATTTATAGTCAAAATATTGTTGCATTAAAAATGTTTGAGTTATGTAGAAGAAATGCATAAATTTTACTTTGAAAAGTCATTAGTGAAACCGGGTTTCCATGCACAATCAGAAGCCAAGAAGCCAAACGTCCATTTACACGACTTTATTTAAATTTAATTACTGCCTGGCAATTTTGTTGCGCTCGGCAACCGCGAAACGTCTGGGAAGGAAGGCCTTTAAGTGTTTGTCGACAACATTTTTAAGTCGTTGTTGACTACAATTTTGTCACCGCTTTTTGTAATTTTTTTTATTTTTTTGTTTATCTCTTAAAACTTTGACATTCTCGAAATATGTTGAATCCCCGCAGCAGCCGCTCACAGCACATGCAACAGTGTGACAGCACCAAAACGGCAGCCGTGGCAACTGTCAAATGCATTTAATTATTGCAATTTATTACGAATTTATGTTATGAAGTGATAAAGTTGTGTTTAAATGCTGCCAAGTCGGGGAAAACAGGTCAGAATTGTAAAATATCAAAATGCAATGCAAGTTCGATATTAAATTTATTAAACAGACAGACAGACGAACAGACAGACAGACATGTTGTTATTAGCGATTACAGAAAGTATAAGCTTGCTTAAGTACGAGTTTATTACCCAAAGCCTTGATATATATTATGGAAGGACATAATTATAGTCAAATATATAGATATATATCAAAATGAAAAGGTAAAAATAGATAGTTGGGGATATACATTGCACAAACTTCTTGTTATGGTCAGGTCTTTAGCATTTAGGACCATGACATGCTCACAATCACATGGTAGTATTCAACAATCAAACGGTTTTACTTACATTCTGATCATAACCATAGAACTCTGTTATGCAGACAGTCAAATCACAATTGCAAACACAGTTTCACACATTTACTAATACACTCATACTTTTCGATTATGTCTAAATTGTCTAAATTCAAAAGTTAATATTCCTTAAGTGTATACGATCATAAACTTCTTGATACGGTCACGTCTTTAGCACTTATGATCATGTTATGCAGACAATCATTTGATGAATAGTGAAACGGTTTCACTCACATTCTGCTCATAATCATGGAACTGTGTTATGCAGACGGTCAAATCACAATTGTTGTCACAGTTTTATATATTTCTTAATACACTTATCGGCGAAAACTGGACCAAATAACCATTAAGAGAGTTTTAAGAGAGGATGTATCAAAACTTTCAAATCAAGTTTCGTTAAGTTCGTTTCGAGTCATCAAAGGTCTCTGTGGCTTGATATGTCATTATGTCCAACAATTCTTTTTCTATTGACCAATTGACCTTTCCAATTCCACCAAACACCATATACTTTTTATATACCTAATATTTATTAATTGTGCTAGCAATTGAATAATTTTATTAACTGGACAATTGTATAAAATGTATCATCCAACTTCATTGCGATGATAAAAAAAAATTATGTTTATTATATAAAAAATGATTGACAAATTACTTAGAATCTAATAATTAAAAGGAAATAGAATTTATTATTCAATTTTAACGAATTCGAAACTAAACTCCCATGCAATTCAAATAATCTTTTCTTCAATTTAACATTTTTTTTAAAAGCTAAAACTGTCTATCATCACTCTCAACTCCTGAACCCAAATGTCAGCACTTTACTAGAATCCTTATAAGCTCAACATTATCAGATGGAAATATCAGTGTCTTGCTTCATTGGTGAAATTGAACTTTCCGGCTTACTTAGAACTTAGCATCCATGCGCTCTTGCATTATTACATAATTAATGCTTTTTGCTACCAATGAAGAATGAAGAATAAAAAGAACTCAAAGAGATCGATGGAAGAAAAGCGGCTTAACAGTCGGCATGTAACGCTTCTCTCACTTCAGATGAATGGAGGTAGAAAAATCTGTAGTTTTTTTTTTTCAAAAAAAGTAACAAGTAAGTTACATACATAGCATGGCTTAATGTTTAATGTTTAATGGTTGGTGTGCTGGGTGAAGAGTTGGGTTGATATCAGAGATCAGTAGTGGCATATTGGCATGAAACATTCAAACGCATAACTTATAATTCTGGAAAAACACGTTGCATAATGTATTTCCTTTATTGCTTCAATTTTGTTCTTTATTTTGTAATCCTTAATTTCAAGTGAACAGTGAACAGTGAACAGAATTACTGCTTTCCATAGCTGGGTTGTAACAATTTTCCAAAGCTACAGATTGTACTTACTCAACAATCTGCAGTTCATGATCTTTGCTGCCAGTGCAGGATACATTTTCTTGACTATCTTCACGGTTGAGGTATTCGCTTCCTAGATTGCAACAATAAGCGGTTTTCTGTTTTTGTCTACTCACATTGTGTTCTTAAATCACACATTTGCTCTAGCAACTTTTAACGGATGCTACGGTTTGTTCGGATTGTTGGGATTGTTCAAATGGATACTGCACTAGCTGCTGCTGCTGGTGCTTCTACACGATCCCATTGACCACAGCACGTACAAGGTGTTTCCTTGTCTTTTTTTTACTTATTGAGTTTTGTAAAATGTTTTTACGATATATTTTTTGATTTACTTTTTCATTTTTTAAATAAAAAATTATATTTGTGGCTTTGGTAGCTACCAAAGTACCAAGAGAGCGTACATGTTGTGGCCGCCACACTTCAAATATTCATTGCGCATTCATTGGCATGGCCATTGGAACCGTCAAGCTATACTATGGCTATACTTTGTTATCATTTTTATTTTTATTTTGTATTTTTTGCTGATTTCCTTGGTTTTTTGTTTTGACTTAATGTTTTTAAAATGCACAGCAGCATCAGCAGCAGCTTCTTATGTTCCGTATCTTGCGAATAAGTAATCCACCCATTTTAAGTTCAGCTGAAATGTTACCCAATCAATGTAACAAAGAAAAAAGGAGCAGTAAGCAAGAAAATTTCCAAAAAAGAAAAGAAAAAACCATTCGCTACATAAAGGAATTCAGTTGGCTTGTATATGAGTATGTCTGCTCCTTTGTGCTCATCTGTCCAACATCAGCAAAATCATCTTTCACAGTAGATACTTCGGTCTTGGTTCATATCGGTTTGAGACGACGTCAGTGAAACGTGACTAAAATGTTAAAGCTGGCATCATCAGCATTTCAATCATGAGGGAAAATCTGTTTTCCATACACAAACACGAATACGAATTCAGTATCTTATATGTTTCACAAACACACACACACACACTGACATACACCTATACACAGGCATGCTTATGTATACGCAATACGTGAATGCTTTTCATGCGCATTCATGATGCTCTAGCTCTGCGGAATTACTAATTTCTTTTGTGTTCTGAATTTTTATTAAACTTGAGTAGGAAAAATTATTTAACTTTCCTGAAGAATAACTATAACTATATAGTTTATTTCTCTATATCAATATAATGGCTATATTATTCGCATTTTTTAGTTATTACTAGAAATCTAAGCTATAATTATGGTATGTGACTCCTTAAGTTAAGCTGTAAAATCAGGCACAGAGAAACTTTTGTTATTTCCACAAATTTGAACGTTTCCATAAGCTCTATAACTTTTGAATTTTCCTAAAGTTTCAAAAGTCTTGACTCTTCCAAAAGTTGGAACGATTATAAAAGTTCCAAGAGTTTCGATGTTTCCGAAAGTCTCGCCGAAGAAGGGTCTCAATTTTAATTAATTAAATTTAAGTCATTCTATAGATCTGCGGGGGAACATATTGTCGTACAACTCAGGTTTTTATGAGAAAAACCAATTTAAGAGCTACTGAATGAGTTCCAAAGACTAAAGATGGAATGAAGAACACGTCAAAACCTCTAAGGCATTATTCTTACTCTAAACAAAAAAAAACATTAATATTTTCATAGAGAGGTTGCAGTACCATCTTCACAAAATTGGCTTTCTACAGATTAATATCTAACGCTGGAATAAATGTTAAAACATTTAAGTACATTATGGAGCATTCATGGAGCTGGAGCATTCGGGAAAATACATGGTCTCATATATATTGATAACGAGTATAAAATATAGTATAAAGACATATCTCTGAAGTGCAATATTTTCTGTAGATCTTAAAGTGCAAATAATAATAAAACAAGTAAATAAAAAATAATTAATAATAATAATAAATAATAACAAATCTGAACAACTCATGAACAAAAGAATTAGACGCTTAATTCTAATCAATATCAAAGTCCCCTCACTTTCTCAATGTGACACCAACAGACCCATTGACAAAATAGAGTAGCCGGTGATAATTGACATTAACTTCAATAAAAATTATAACAACACTCATTAAAAAAATAATTAAAATTAATTTTAAAAGATTTACTGAATTTTATTAGTATAAATCAATTTATATTGAATAATTTTAATGATATAAAAATGCAATTAAAAAAACTTTAAGAAAATCAAGGACAATTATTACTTCGATTGTGTTATTGTCTGCAAGGAGAGCGTATGAAGCAGAACCTTCTTATAATTAAAATAATGGCGTATGTAATGCTATATAAATAATAATGATGTTATAACTTAATTTATTGTATAAACAATAAAAGAAGTGCTGAATTAAAGTATACTGAATTTATATTATAGAAAAATAATTATCTGTATAATTTAGTGAAGGCTGTTATTTAATAGATCAAAGTGGAATGAAGCTAATCATATTAAATGACATCATTATTTACAAATGGCAATGCTACTAATGTTGGATTAACAGCGAGACTCGGGATTATAAGCTAACAGAACTGTTTGCTGTTTTAAACGAGAAAATTCTACCAAAAAAATTCTTTCAAATTCTTTCAGAAACCACACCAAATCTAAATGTTTGGTGTGAATTTTAAAAAATTGAGACTCTTCGTTTGCGAAATAAATTTAATGTTTTTGCACTTCCGTTAAAAGATTTGTAAAAGACAAACAAAAGCAGAAAAAAGCTTAAGAAAACACAAAATGGCGCACAAAAATTCATTCATGTCTAGTCAAACTGAGCAACGTAAGATGTCTTAACGTAAAATGTAGCAACGTAAGACACTTTAACGTAAGCTACAATCCTCTTGCACTTGTTAGAAAAAGATTTTGACCGTTCGACTATGAACTATATTAGGCTACAGTTCATAGTAGAGTTAAATTTAATTTTTTTTTTATTTTAATATTGCATTCATTATTTTTATTAATTTTTATAATATATAATTTTGATCGTGGATTTTGTTTTTTGTTATGTTTTTTCAATTTTTAATTAGTTTTAAATTTATTTTTAAACATATTTTTAGTGATTTTATATTATACCGTTTTTTTGTTTATTTTTATATTAATATTTATAAATATTAAAAAAATTTGTTTATTTTTTATTTTATGCTATGTTATATTTATTAACAAGAATGCATTTATGTTTTACATTTAATTTAAATGTATGTTTAATATTATTTTTAATTAATTTTAAATTTGATTTTAATTATATTATTAGTAAATTTATAATAAAATTATACTGCTATTTATTCTATTATTTATATTAATATTTACAATGATTAAATACATTTTTTTAATTTGTTTTATTACATATTGTCAGTAATTTTAATATAAATTAAACAATTTACTGTTTTATTAACTTTTATTAATATTTATAATATTAATTTTTATAATCTCTTTTATATTAATATTAATTATTTTGATATAGATATGTGAATGCATATATTTAAATGTATGAGAATTTGTTTACGCACTAAAAGAAATTTTATTTTATTGAGATAATAAAATTTATTTTTTTTTTATTATATTTAATGCATAAAATTATTTGAAATATGCGTATACCTAACAGCATAAATAAAAATAAATATTCTGGAATTCTTGTTTATATATGCTAGAACATTTTTTTAAAATTTTTTTTTTTTTTTACTATTGCAAGAAGCTACTAGCAAAGTTTTTTCTTTTTTGCATTTCCTTTTCTTTATATTTGCGTGTAGTTATGTGCTATTTTATATGCACGAGATAAGCATTGCGCTGCGTACGAATATAACAAAAAAGTACACAGTGTGCACAGTAAACGACTGCAATATCAACAACAACAATAATAACAACAACAAACAGCAACTATTGTAAGATAAGAAAAAGAGGCGGAATTTTATCCAAGAAACTGCCAAGACAGTATAAATAACAAAAACAAAAACAACAACAATAATACCAGCAGCAGGAAAAATAAACAAAAGCAACAAAGGCGTATAAATTTTCATGGCTGCTTTTTTTTTGTTTTGTTCTTTAAGTGCTCTTAAGCTTAATATAGACTGCGTCACTACACTCCTTAAAGTACCACAACTAAATTTAATCTTGTTCTAGCAAGCGAAACACAAACGCAACTGTTGTTGTAGTAGCGTATGGAAGTAATAACAACATAAAATGCATACGACAATTGACTACAAAAACAAAAACAAAAAACAAAAAATGTGAAAAGAAAAAAGAAGTTATGCTGAAAAAAATAAATATTTTAAAACTAGGAAGAAGGCAGCCATTTTTATAAATTTTTTTAATATGGCAATGGCGCATTGCAATGTGGTGACTATTTGCAAACTTTTGACAAATAAAGCATAATATCGCCAACATAAATAAATAAAAGATGAAATTGGGTAATAAAATAGAAAAATAAAATTATAATTTAACAGAAAAATTGAAAGAAATATAACAAAAAAGAAATAAAATTTAGTAAAATATCGTTGGAGCGACAAAGTCCACTTGTCAATGAACTTTTTATAAATGTTTCATATTAAAAAACTTAAAAGAAATTTAACAAAAATTAAAAGAAAAACAATTAAATAATATATCTTTGAAGTCACAAAATATCAATGAACTTTTTATAAATGTTTGATAATGAAAAACTTAAAAGAAATTTAATAAAATAAAAAACAAAACATTTAAATAAAATATCTTTAAAGCCACAAAATACACTTGTCAATGAATTTACTATAAATATTTAAAATATAAAATTTCATTCATTAAATTTATTTATACGTGTATATAAATAAATATTTAATGCAAAAACAAAAAAAGTTTTTAATATATATTAACAATATTAGCAAATAAAACAACTCAGGTCTTATTAATTAAAAGTTTTTTCTTTTTATAAAATTTAAATATGTAAATAAATTTGAAATAATTATGAAATTTAATTTTTTCTATATGTATGTTATATATGTTAATTTCAAACACACATAAACGTTTTTAATATATATATCTTGTCTTTGAAATATATATTCGAATGCTATAAATTTAACTTATA